TCACAGAGCTCTGCAGCCTTGAACTCTAGGCTGACCGTCCTTGACCCACAGAGTTCCCCTTCGCTTTCTAAGGCACATATGGCCCCTTCATGGAGGTCTGGGCGCCTTCTCCTCACACTCTGTTCCAGAATTTTCTGAGCTGAAAAACCAGACTGCCTTCCCATAGCACATGCCAACGTACCGGGTCCAAAATCTTCTCCCCATCCCGCCCCACTGCTGAAGGAGCCAGAGCTGAAGGCGCGGGTGCAGCAGACAGAGCGTGCCGAGCCCCATTGAGGACCGAGACCTCATTTTCTCGGGCGCACTGAGACATGGGCACATCGATCCTGTGTACTTTCCAATTCTTTTTGAGTCTTTCTTCCTAAGACTTCTGTCCAGAATTGCATGTGAATTTACAGTCACTTCTCTTGCCTCTCCATTTCCAGTTGAAACAATCGCACCGTGATGAAAAGATGATGAATGCACCTTCTGAATTAGAATCGTGGTGCGGTGGGAGCTAGCACGGTGTATTTTCGGCCCAACCTCCATTGCTCTATGTGCCCCTCTAAGGTTTGAGAACTGTAGCTTCACAGGGCTGAGTGCGACCCTGGATGTGATCGCTCTTTCATCACATCCTGGCTCCGAATTAGGCAGCAGTCGGCAGTGGGGCCTGTTGTGTAGGGTGTGGCTTGTCCTTCCCGGTCCGCTGCGAAGTCCTGGCCAAGCCTTCCACTGCATTTCCTTCCTGCCCCCGAAGCCCGCCTTCAAGACTGTGCTCAACCAACCCTCCCTGGAGGAGTGACGGAGAGCGTCCAGGCGTAAGTCGCCGCCACGGACGCGCAGCACCTCTCAGTGACTGCAGAGCCAGCTGCAGGTGACATCTGGCTTTGACTTGACATCATGCTGCCCTCCGTCCCAGGGGAGCACTTTTTATCGAGAGCAGCTGCTGCAGAAGACAGCGCCGCCCTCCTCCCCGTGAGTCCCAAGGAGCCATGAGGCTCCCTTTCCAACACCGTGCCCTCCGCAGCTCCCCTGTGAGTCGTGCAAAAGGCTGGACCTGGTGGGGCTCTTGAAGGGCGCCCCCAGCCCCCGGGCTTGTCTCGGGAGCAGAGCTGCCCCCTCTCCTGATGTGAGGCTGCACCAGCCCTCTTCCGGCTGCGTCTCTTTCAGTGCCCACCAGAAGCAGGACGAGGGGCGGGAGCCAGGCTGGGGTGCTCTTCCCCAGAACCTTTTGTAACTTCCAAAACAGAAGTGGACAGGGGCTTCCCTGGCCGCGCTGCCTGCGTCTGGGACCTGAGCCCTGGGCCCCTTGGGGAAGCCAAGGACCTCAGCAGGGGCGGTGGCCAGAGGGGCGGTGGTTGTTGCAAAGCCCGCTGCTGCCTTTGCTGTCAGCCTCCACGTGTGGGGGTGGAGGTCCTGCTCAGGCCCTCTCCCTCAGGAGCACGGGAGCACCCGGCCCTGCCTCCGTTCTACGTGTCTTACAACACACTGACTTTGATGGCTGACAGCACCGTTCACTTCCCTTTGTACCAGTCGGTGTTGATGCGCCCAGGAACTTTGTGCTCAGCACCCGGTTCCCCTGCCCGGGCCACACGGGATCACCTGCCCCATTCAGCACAGAGTCCTGTGTGGACGGACGCCATTGGATGGAATGAAAGCCTGGAATCGTGGGCTCATTTCCCATAGGCCGCATGGTTTTCTGGCTCTTCTTGCAGGATTTGCAAACCTGATTGCACATTAGAATCAGCCCCGGGGGAATGCCTCTTTATTTTTAAACAGGCAATCCCTGGGCCTGTCCCTGGGCCTTTGGTGGCCTGGAGGTGGGGCCCCGGAACCGGCGTTTTTAAAAGCCTCAGTGTGAGATTCCTGCTGCACAAACCAGTTTGGAAGACTGTAGATCCTCCCCCGACTCCCCTTCTCAGCTTCTCTACACCCTTGACGCCACTCACCCCTTATCAGCTTATATCCTAGTCTCCCCTCCTTGCAGCTTCTCCCCAGCAGATGAACAAGCCTAAGACCCTCCTGTGAGCTTTTTGAGAGGGGGGCGCCCTGGAGCCCACACCTCATCCGCCCCTCTGGCCTCTGACATCCCGCCCCCCAAGGTCCTCCTCTCAGTCCGCCCCCTCTTGGCCTCATCAGACCTGCGGTTTCACTGGGTCCGCCCACCGTCTCAGCAGCGGGCGACCCTGGCTGCCACCTTCTGTTCCCTGAGACTCTTCTGGGCCTGGGCATCTACCTCACCTTTCTGATGGGTCCCCTCCGTCCCCTTTGCGGCCAGTTTGTTTGCTCACTCTAAGATATTGATGTCCCCAGGGTCTTTCCTTCAGCTTGCCTTGAACTCCATGCCTTCCTGGGGCGACCACATTCACTGCAGTGACTCCCACAGCCGTCATTGACCCCTCCTGAGTCCCTGTCCCCAGCTGCCCTCTCCTCAGCGGATGGACACGGCCTCTCTGGGTTTCCCACCTGGTTCATGGCCCCACCCTCACCACGTGGTATGAAAACCACACCGGCTCTGTGCTCCTGTCCCCTCTTCCCCTGTCATGCGGCTGGAGGCTGATCCTGGGGCATGACCTGCTCTGCCTCCGTGGGGTCCTTCCCACTGCCTCCCCCACGGCCATGACTCAGCCCCCGCCCCGCGTCGCCTCCCACGGGGATTTCTACACTGTCTCGCCTCCCAGCCTCCTACTGCACCGCATCCGCCCGTCCTCCCCTTGGTGACGGAAGGGGTCACAGCGTTAGCTCCAAAATTCAAGCCTGGCTCATAATTCCCTGTTGAAACCCTTCCCAGTGGCTGCCCGTTCCCTGCAAGAGGAAGCCTGGCTCGTGGGTCCCACTCCAGGCTGACCCCTGCCCATCTCAGCCTCATCCTTTTAATTTATGGGTGGCTGTTTTTTTTTAAATCAAAGTATGCGCTAGCTTGCTTTTTGTCGGGGTGTCCAGCTGCCCTTGGCCGCCCAGGCCCCTGTCACCGAGCTCCCGGACGTGCACTCTGGGGTGTCTCAGGGCTGCCTTCCGCCTCGGTCCCCGGGTCACTTCCCGTCAGCTTTCCATTCCCCCTCCCCATCACTTACTCTTCTGTGAAGCCTTTCCTGATCCGGCCCAACAGAATGTGTCACTGTTCGTTTTGTGACCCTGTGTCCCCACCAGCATATGAGCTCCCGGGGTGGGGGTGGGTCAAGCCCCTGCCGCCTGGACTCCGTGTTCCCAGGACGCAGCCCGGCATGTGGTTGGCGCTCATGAAACCAATCAGAACTGACACGCTGCCGCGGGGGCGGGGGGCGGGGGGCCCTTTCTTTAGCAGGTAAGACTCATTTAAAATAATTTACCTCTTCATATGAAAATGTGCTCAAGTCATTTTTAAAATTTCCTGCTGAATTGATTAAAACAATGTTTTTATATTATAAATCCATGCACTTAATCCTTGCCTTCTATGGCATATGTTACTTGGAATGGCAAAAGGTCCAATTACCGTTGTTTCCTAATTAGTGAAATGATTTATCCAAATTGATAATAATTAATAAGTTCTTTAATAATGATGAATGTACCTAAATTAATGCAACTGAAGGTAATACAGGTACATATTGTACAAGTTAGTATTATACACTGTGCTCATATTTTTATACACGTCTCAAGAGTTATTGTGAGTACGAGAGAATGGGGACTAAAGTCCCTCCCACACCACCCACGTGCTAAGGTTGTCTCCTCCTTTACATGAGACGCGGGTCAGCCCAGCTTAGCCCAGCAGATAAGACTAGGTCTTTGCGCATGTCATTTTTCGCATAGCCCTGCACGTCCGTGGAAGAGCGGGTTCACTAGGCCCTCCTGTGTCCCCAGCAAGCAGGCAGGTGCGTGAAACACGGAGGTACAAATATCTCTTTGAGACTCTGTTTTCAATTCTTTCGGGTATATACCCAGAATTGGAATGGCTGTATTACATGGTACTTCGATTTTTAGTATTTTGAGGAACCACCATACTGTTTCCCACAGAAGCTTGACCAACTTCTTTAGAAATTTTTAATGTAAGGATGCAACATCTTAGACTGAAAGAGCTTAGGCTTCTAAACTAGACAGATGTGGGATTAAATCTGGGCTGCGCTCTGTGGGCAAGTCTTTCAGCCTCTCTGAGCTTTGGTTTTTCCATCTATAAAATGGGGATACTAACAACCACCTGCAACAGCTGGAAGAATTCGAGGGGAGGCAGGTGGACGGAGGTAGCACTGTGCGCCGCTCCACAGGTGTGCCTGCCGTTAATGACCTCTGTGCTGTTTTTACGTAATATTTTCCCCACAGGCTCTTGTTCCTCTCACACCATCTTCCTACTTCAGTAGTGCTCTCTTTTTTAACGGTGTCAGCTCAGGTTCATCTCGAGGCCAACATGCAGGACGCGCTAGTTGAGGCAAAGGATGGTGACGTGCACTTCCTAACGGTCCCAAAGTCCCCTGTTTCTTCCTGGTCCTCTACCGAGCCCTCAGTCTACATCCCCATCATTTCTCAGCGGCTGCCTTCTCTGAGTCCCTCTTTCTCAGACACCTGCAATCCACCCAACACCCTGCCGACAGCTAATTTTCTTAAATCCCTGCTTCCCTTGTGTTATCCTCCTACTCAAACTCCTCGGCTGAGTGCAGTTCCCTAGAGATCGGGGCAAACCCCTCACGCAGGCCTTCCAAGCCTCCCATAGATGCCCGCGCAGCCTCCGCCTCACCCCACTCCTCCCCCACGTCCCCACTCCTGCCCCCGGCACCCCGTCCTGCGCCTTGACGGCAGGGACCGTTTCCCACTCCGTCTGTGTTCCCCTGAAGGCCCCTTGGCAGCCCTGTGCTGCGCCTCCTCCAGCTGGTTCCTCGGCCCCTCTAGTGTGGGGACAAGAGGTGAGCCCGGACTGCGTGGGAAGGGGCTGGACACGGGCTGCTTCTCTCCAAGCTCCCGGAGGGCGGGCTGCTGGCCGCCGCGGTGACGAGCGTACCTACCGCTGCATCTCCCAGCACCCTAACGTGGCTGTCCCCTCCGGCCTCTCACAGGGACGTTCGTCTCGGCCTTCACCGTGCTGTGCGGAGCCCGCACCGACCTCCCGGACCGGCACGTGTGCTGCGTCTTCTGGCTGAACATCGCGGCGGCTCTCATCCAGATCCTCACGGCCATCGTCATGGTCGGCTGGATCATGAGCATCTTCTGGGGCATGGACATGGTCATCCTTGCGAGTGAGTAGCCACTGGCGCCGCGTCTCCTTATGGGCCTGGGCCTGGGGGAGGGGGGCAGAGCGAGGCCAGAATGGTCTGGGCGTTTGTGACCCTGCTGGGCCTGGCGCTTGGCAGGGAGATCTGCTGGGCCTGCTCCCCCGCCCCCCTCCCTGAGGGCTCCCCTGCGTCCTCCTCACTAGTGTCTGTGGCTGCTGGGAATAGGGGACCTTCCCTGCACACCCAGTCGCAATGCCTGCTGGGACTCCTGAGGGCAGACAGGCACAGAGTAAGCCAGAGAGCTGAGTGAGAGAGGGAGGGAGCCCCCGGTCAGCTCCAGGAGCTCAGGTCCCCTGTGCCTACCGTCCCCTGTCCCTCCATCATGCACTTTCCAGAAAGAAGGAAAAAGCCGCTTGGTGCATTTTCCCACAGAAAACCCTGTAACTGTGCTTTTTTACAGCCAGAGCAGCATAATTTCTCCTCCTTTTAAACCAAGCTCTCTGTCCATGGGTGCTAAAGCCTTACTTCCTAATTGCTATTGCATAGGCCTTCACCAATCACTTCACACATACTTGATTCAGACACAGAACGATTTTGTGGAAGGGCTTAACCTTACAGCATCAAGTTTACCAAAGACGACTTGATGAACGTTTTAAAAATAACCTAGCAAGATCTCGAAAGAGACACTACCTGTTTTAGGCAGCCGCGCACGTTCCCCTGTGCCCCAGGCTCGTCCCCTGCATGCGCACTCACGCTGTCTATCTCATGAGGCCCTGGTCCTCGCCGACAGGGACCACGTCTCCTCAGGCATTCGTCCACCTCCCTGATCCTCCTCGTGTCCTACACGCAGCAAAACCTCCCCAGGTATGACTGTTAGTGCCAAAGGTGAGGTGTGCCAGGTAAGAACAGCAGAGGCAGAAGGGGAAGCCCAGGGTTCAGGGGGCCCTAGAATGACCTAGAATGACCAGTAGCCAATGTAGTCTGAGGTCAGGATCCTGTGAGGATCCAAGACTCAGGGTGCACACAGGACCAGTCAAGGCTTCGGGTCAGTGGCCGATCAGGTCACTCGCCTGAGGAAAGGCAGGTGCCAGAGCCTGCTGAGATCGGCAGGGCAGGGGGGTAGGCAGGCCAGGGCGCCTGGAAGAAGGGCCCCAGGAGCAGAAGCTGGGGAGGAAGCGGGTCTGCGGGACGACCAGAGCATCCCGGAGTTCGAGCCTTCACTGTGGGTCAGAGCCGGCTCTGTGGACGTCCCCGCACCGGCTCCAGGGCTGCTGCCTTTCTGTCAGACTTTTTGGAACACTGTTTGGGGGATGGTGGGCTTGAGGACTGCTCAAGAAAATTGTCCCACTTCACTGCTACCCGCTTACCTTACTCACCGGCCACCAGACTTGCTCACCCACCTCAGTGACCAGGTGCCTTTACACTTCTTCCAACACGTAAACCCACCTCCAAGGATGAATAATTGCCACTCTTGAGATGGTGCCGTGGGCTTGGATGGCTCTGAGCAACAATGGAGTGTGTCCCGGGGTGACTACTTTGAAGGAACTGTCACTGTTGACTTGTCTCCCCTGGTAGGTAGTTGGGTAGGGCTCCTCTTTTGGACACTCCAGCCCTTTCCTATGAAAATGAAAGGAACTTTTCCGTGGTAACCATAGAGGATGATTTTTCCTGTGGCGTTGTCAAGGGCGCCACTGGGGGGCCCTGGACATACCACTGGAGGGGGGATCTTAAGAGGGGAATCAGAGAAATAGAGATCAAAGTAGAAGTTAAAATCAGACACTCATAAACACGCCCCTCTATTTACATAGAAAATAAAAAACAGTGCACAGCGTGTCTTGATCATGGGTCAATACATACCTGGTAGTTTTACAATAACTTCTTTCTACTGCCAGGCCCATGGCGGACATTATTAACCAATGGTTGGCACTTTCTGCCATACGACCTTACCGCTCTCAGGTCAGAGCTTCAGGTCGTCACTGCTGACTGATCCAAGGAGTCTGCGAGACAAAATTATTTGCCATCCCTGGGCCTGCGTGTTTCGCAAGCATTAGATTTTATATATATGGCTCCTGTTTATGGCAGACATGCCTCCTGGGGAAGGGGAGCCCTCGCTGCGCGTGTACACCAAGGGGCTAACCTCTGGCCGCACGGCTGGTCGCTGCGAACCCTGAGCACCCCCGTTCCATCTCCTGGGCCCCCACCCCCCGTGCAGCCTCCCCTTTTTATGTTTCAGGCAGCCGCTCTCTCCTCGGTTTTCAGACTCTTTTCTCTTTTTCTTTCTCTTCTCTTCCTCGCGTGCTGCCTCACATCCCGCTCTGCTCCCAAGTTTCCCAAGGTGAGTCTGTGGATGGGTGCCCTGCCTGGAGGCTGGGCCGCCTGGGCGCCCCCCACCCCCCCGACCCCCGGCCACTGCTGCACCCACCCCCTCTTTCAGAGAGTCAGCTGGTTTCTATTTTTAGCTTTTTATTTTGGAAAACTTTTAAAGCTAAACAAAACGAGAGGGCTTAGCCTGATGACTGTCTAAAAAGCCCGACTTCAGCAATTGTTGACTCTTGGCCACTCGTGTTTCACATTACTCTTCCCATCTCACCCCGCCCCTAGCATGGGATTAATTGCGCCTAAAATTGATGAATAACCTGATAAATAAAGAGAAGAAAAACCAGTTAAGTCCATGGAAGCTCCTTTTTTGGCTAAGTCACCAGCTAACAGGAGGAAACAACTCAAAATTCCAGACAGTAATTTTATCCTTAAATATTTCAGTCGGTATCCTTTTTTTTTTAAAAAAAAAAAACTTTTAAAAAAAGATTTTATTTATTTTTAGAGGGAGAGGTAGGGAAGGAGAAAGAGAGGGAGGGAAACATCAGTGTATGGCTACCTCTCACCCCGCCCCCCCTTCACTGGGGACCTGGCCTGCAACCCAGGCGTGTGCCCTGACTGGGAATCGAACCAGTGACCCTTTGATTCACAGGCCGGCGCTCAATCCATTGAGCCACACCAACTGGGGCAAGGTAGCCCTTTTTTTTTTTTTTTAAGGTGCCCTTTCATACCCAAATAAATTAGCAATAATTTTCTAATATCAATAGTGGTCAATTTTCTCAATGGCCTCATAATTATCACCAATGTTTTAAAGGCTCGAAACCCTCCGTCCCCGTTGCCTGGGTCACAGCCGTCCGCCCGGCAGGCCGACACACGCCGGGGTACTCCCTCCTGTGTGCTTGTCTTCCTGCTGGCTGCCTTCCTCCTGCCCATCCGCACGAGCCAGCTGCCTCACTTCGGGAGCCTGACTGGCGCCTTCTTTCCAGGCTCTGCTTTGGGAAACCGCACCAGGCCAGGCTGCAGGGGCCGCTTGCCTGCAGGGCTGTGGCTTCAGGGGTGTGTTTGTAACCTTCCAACCGCCACCACCCACAACCTCCTCTCCTGTGTCTCCACTAAACCCCAAGCCCCACCGTTCTCCACGCACCCTTTGGGTTTCCATGGGAAAGCCCAGCCCTCGTGGGGAGTGGGACCCTGACTGTAGGAGCCACTCACGTCTCTGTGTGAATACCGTCTCAGGAGCAGATTCTATCTAGTCTGGGGCGCCTCCTGGAGAAACCCTGAAGGACAGGGGAGTCTCACCATCTCTCCTCTGCTTCCTCCTCACAGGCTACAAGGAGCAGGGCATCCCACAGCAGCTGTGAGCCCAGGAGCCCCCGGAAGTCCAGGGCGGCCCCTGAGGGCCACATCCGGCAGCGGCGGCACAAGGACCTTACATGTTGTCTTCTGCTGCGTCCTGGGTTTGGAGTGGAGAGGAGGCATTCAAAGATATTATTTATTTTGGAAATGCCTCTGCTGTTCTCAGCAGGCTCTGAGGGCCACCCGCCCCTCCCCCGCTCCATCCAGAAAGCCCTGTAGGCTCAGGCACCTGGAGTATCTGCAGGGGAGTGGGGGGTGGGGATAGAGAGGCCTGAGCGTTCCTGTTCCTTCCCACCCCACCCCACCTCGCATCCTCACTCCACTGCAGGGGGCGCCCCAGCGGTGGGGCCGGGCAGCAGTGGCCCCGTCCAGGTGAGCAGGGGCTCACCAGGAGCAGGACAGCTGTGGATACTTCCTTTGGGTCCCCAGCCCCTGCCGGAGTGGTCTCCTGGGCGCGGCCCCAGGGCGGCAGTGAGAATGGACAGACTCCAGCCCGGAGTGGCAAGGCCTGCTGTGCCCTTGGCTTTTGTGGCAGGGGACACGCGGATCCCCGGAGGGGTGACCTGGCCCTGCCCTCCCTTTTCGCGTCCCCACCTCCTCCTCACTGACATTTCCAGGCCTGGGGGTGCTCGGACCTTTGTTTCCCTGCAGAGGAGGGCAGTGGCCCCCGGGGGGACCGGCTCCTGGAATCCTGCTCCTGCCCAGAAGGACCAGGCGAGCGCTGTGTGGGCCCCGCCTGGCAGCCTCCCACAGTTCACCCAACACCGCTGCCGGGCCCCCCCTTCCTGAAGGCCTCGGAGTGGATGGGTCTCTGGAGTCAGACATTCTGGGTCTGAGAAAGAGAATAGGAGACATGCACCCTACATTTCCTAACACCCCGCAGTCTGGATCAGCTCTCCACCCGCAAACGTGTGACACGGGAATTCCTCCGCTTGCAAAGGGACCGTGGGTCCCTTTAGGACACCTCTGTCTTTGCTACGGTCAGGTCCCCCAGCGGGCGGGAACCAGCGGAAGTTGTCCCAGCTACTGTGGGTCCTGTATCAGTCTCACATGAGGAGGGAGAAGCCCCAGAATGACCGTGACAAGGCCGACATTTACATGTCTGGTTTCATTTCACTCTAACATAGGCATCGCTAACTTGTGGGACTGGCTCCAGGCCAAGTTTCTGAGCCCACTGGACTTTGTGCCCTTGGGTATGTTCCCCTTTGAGGGGCTTTTCCTGTTCGTCAGCGGCTCAGTCAGAATTCGACCAGGGCTGGAGAAGTGGCCTGTCTGGCCATTTTTTGCCACGCTGGGCAGGCCCCCTGGCTCTGCCGCTGTTTGCGGAGTCTCTGTTCTTGAATCCCCGAGCTGAGGCAGCGGCCCCCCACCCCGTGCACTGCGCTTTCTAATGACAGTCCTGCGGGGGAAGCAGGCCTGGGGTCCCTGTGGCCGGGACAGCCTCCCGGCAGCCCCTGCGGCCGCTCACCCACCCCTGTGCCCCGATCCAGGCAGGCTCTCTGCTCCTGGCCAGATCTCAGCTGCACGCCACCCCTTCGTTTTGATGAGCCCCTCCTCAGGACTGCGGGGGCTGGGCTGCCCTTTCTGAGCACTCCCTTCCCTCCTCCTTTCTTCCTGACGCCAGCCCAGGCCTTTGCTGCTGTTTTCACATTCGGAAGCCTCTGTGTTTTCAAGGCCGGGGACCCGATTTGGTTTGATCCGAAAGCCAGGCCCCTTCCAGCATCCTCCAGGCCGAGAAGTGAGCAGGCTGGCCCCCGGCTGCTCCTGAGGGAGCGGGAGCCGCCCCTAGAATTAGACAAAACAGCCTCAGCTGGTGAAATAACGACTTCACGGCCCAGCCACGCCTCCCCACCCGCTAGCCCACAGCCCGCCCCCCAGGCAGCTCCCTGAGTTTGCAAGTTTGTGTGGCTCCCTGGAGTGATGACAGGTCTCAGTGGGGGCTGCCCCTGCAGCGAGAGAGGAGAGAGAGGAGGATGTCATTTTCCTGGCTGGGCTGGGGGTGGCTGCTGAGGGGGGAGAGAAGAGATAGCGATTTATGTCGCATGTTTAGTGACACAATCCAGACACAGGAGGGACTGTTGTTTTTGAGTGACAGATGTCACCGTGAGTCCCAGTGTAGAATGGCTTAATTCGGAGAGGTGTGGACTTGGAAGGACATCTGCACACTTGAGAAGACATTAGGCCCAGGAGGGAGCCCCTTGTCAGGTAGCTGAGGTGTGGCAGACGCCAAGAGGACCCCGCCAGCCTTGAGCAGGGGAGCCTGTGAGCATCAGCACGTGGGCGGAATCAGCTCAAAACAGTGTCATGTCATTAGCCCATATCCTCGGCATTGTCGTCTTCATCAGCTCAGGAGCGCGGCTGGTGCGCTCCCAGTAACCTGAGCTGGCCGCTCGGGCTGTGAGGCGGCCAGAATTCATTGATTAAACCCCAGCCAGCGGAAACTTGGGGTTCTCGTGCCTGCACGCGCTTGGTGGACACCTAGCCCTTTGGGGACAGAGCTGATGGTACAGCACGAAGACGATGGTCCGGAAGTCACAGGGTACATTTCAGGTTTGGTCTTTCATCGGTCAGAATCCCATAGGACATTCCCTGGCCATGGGTGTTGGGGGGCTCACAGGGGTGCCGAGAGCTTCCTAGTGAATGAGGCAACCCCAGGCTTAGAGCGGCGGCCCCTGGGGCCAGAGCGGAACCTGGGGTAGAAAGGAGCCTCCCGGGCGTTTGGGCATGTCCTGTGGGTACAGGGGCTGTGGCTCTGGACCGTAAGCTCGGAGTCTGTTCCAGAGCCGGGCTCCAGGCTGGGAAGGCCAGGCTCTCCGCGGAGCCCCAGGAGGCAGACGGCTCCTGGTCCTGCTCCTGGCCCCCCCACCCCCGACCCTGTGCTGGGGGCTGCAGGTGGGAGCTCCGCGGCCTGACAGCAGCAGGCTGGCCTGGAGCCGGTCTTTGGATGCACTAGAGGGGAGGAAGGGACACAGAGCAAGACGCTTCCTTCGGTGGCCCCGACCCATGCGTCAGCCTCTGTATTAAGGACGGCCTCCCGACGCGGGGCCCTGCCTGCGCGCAGTGCGAGCATTTGGTCTCCTGTGACCGCACACACAGGGTGGGTTTGTGAGGGTCGCGCGGTCGTGCCTGGACCCAGCTCCTCCCAGGCCCGCCGCAGGCTTTAAGGACGCTGGTTGCTTTTATCTGTTAGTGATGTTGGCAAAGAAAGCCCCCTTTCCTGGGTAAACTCCTTGGGCTACCACTTAAAGTTAAACGCAGATCAACCGGGCGGTGGTTTCAGGCCTTGTTTACTGTTCTTATTTTTCCTCCCTCTTGTAGGTTTGTTCGGAGGGCTTTCAACAGAGGGGCTGGAGTGGGGGGAGCAGTTTTAAAGCACCCCTAGCTGTACTGACCCTCTCCCGAGACCTTGGCCTTGTATGAGGTTGGGGGCATCAGGCTCGGGGAATCGTTTGGAGAGGATGCTGACCGTGCGCCATGCGGCCTCCCAACTCCTGGAGCCTGGGCCCAAGGCTGAGCGGCAGCAGGGCTTCCCCTGTGGCTCCTGGCGCTGGCTCACCCCGTGGCCTCCTGGTTTTGCGATTAGGCCTTCCAGCAGGGAAGTAAAGCTGGGGTCAGCCTGAGTGGCGTGGACGTCACTTGGGGTCCTGTGTTTTGTCTGTTTTCTTCCTGTTAGATTCTTAGAGCTTCAGAAGGTTCCCAGGTTCCCAGGGGGGTGGAAGTTCATGCTCAGAATCCAGCCTAAATCCCATCAGAGGAGTGAGCCCGTTTGGTGACAGCTGGGGAACCCCAACCCGTGACCCCGGATGCCCCCGCAAGCCCTGGACAGGAGTTTCAGCCTCAGTGCTCTTTGTCTCTCCTACTGCTTCCTGCCTCAGTTTGACCATCTGTAGGCGGGGAACAAGGAGGGGCCTGAGCAGCCATTATTTTTTCCATTTCTCTCAGAGCGAGGGGCTGGGAGGGGCCCATCCAGTGGAGGGAGAGGGAGGGAGAGGGAGGGGGAGAGGGAGGCGCTGTCTCCTGCACAGGCCTTATGGGCTCGGGCTGGCAGCCTTGCCGTGGGGACTTTTTCTAGTAAAACAGAAACACTGTCCTCCAGCTCCGCGCTCCCTTCCTGATCCTGTGCCACTCGGGTCCCACTTGTATGCATGTGTCTGAGTTTCGGGAACATGCTGTCTCGCACTTTGACTTAGCTGTACAATCTCTGTCCCCCATCCCCTTCCCTCCCTCCTGCCTGGATTTGCCAAAATGCCAGCCACCCCAGCTGGCCTGGACTCCCTCGTGCCCCCCACCGCACGTTCACCCTGAAATGGGCAGAAGCACAGACGCACACTCGTGCACGTGCGCACCCTCGCACGTGCGCACCCCCAGCCCTCTGAGTGCGGCGGAAGGCAGACAGGGTCTGTCTGGAGGCTCAGGGTCGGGACTCTGTCTCCAAAGGGAGCCCAGGCCCCCCCTCCCCGGAAGCCGTCTTCTTCCAGCCTGACCTCTGGCTGGTGGCACCTTTTGCACTTGTCACTCCTGCCCAGCAGCCCAGATTTGCACAGTGTCTCCTCTGCAGGACACCTGGTCTTGGATCTCTCCTTCCCGGGCCCATGGGCTCAGCACCGCCCACGTGCCCGCCCCTCCCGCTGTGGTCACACCCCCCCCCCCCCCCCGCACCCCAGCTTGGCCTTCTGCAGGAGGCGAGTCTGCCCAGAGAACGGGGCAGGGGTGGTTGCTCCCTGGGCTCGTCCTGGGCTGCAGACAAGCCTCTCGTTGGAGGCCCTTTCTGTTCCCACAGCCTCCCACCTGCCCCAGTTAGGAACCGGTGAGGCAAGAAGGGTCACGTCCACAGCACTTCCTGGGTTGTGCTGGGCCCGCATTTCGAGCAGGGAGAGTGTGGTGTTGGCTGTCGCAGGCCTGGGCGCCCTGTGGGAGCCCTTGGCTGGCCCTGTCCACAGGCCGAGTTCCGTGCTGTTGTACGTGGTGCCAATTTTTTTTTTTTAATAACATACATGAAAACAAGACTGGTTCTGTGCGTATATGGATGAGTGTTGTGTCGTGAACTGCAGTGTT